TGGGGGAGAGTACTTCACTGGTTGAGTTTTGGCAACAGTATTGCTGAACGAATCGATGGGCCTGGTGGCGCGGTAGAAACGCGGGAGGCCAATCAAACTGCACTATTTTATAATGCCTGAGGAAGCCCTTCTCTCGGGCCCCGATTTCCCACGATGAGTGCTTTCTTTTCGGCCTACCAAAAACAATCAAATCGCTGCTAGAGAGCAAATAGGCAGCCGACTCTCTCTCGAAAAGTGGAGCAAGAGCTTTCTGAGCTCCTCGAGTGGACTAACGAAGCGACTGTCCCTCCAGCACGAAATCTCACTTTTCTGCACCGCATTTTTCCGAGGTACCCACCTCACCTCGCACGAGGAGTCTAGTCACATGACCATGGCATGTCAAGAAGAGGTTACTTCATTGACAAGTTGAGCGAAGTCTCGAATTTTGGTTCGTGACCAGCACGCACCTCCGATTGGTCGTGATACACTAAAATCCGGCCCGAAAATCTACGTTTTCAATAATAACTCCCTTAGCAACTGCAATTAAATTTTTACAAATTTATTCAGCGTGGCCCTATACACTACCTATCGTTTGACATGAGTTTTGCAGGGAAACCAAGTATGCTAGCTATTGGAGAAATTAATTAGGGAGTTAGTTTGCAGGCTCGTTTCGCTAAGGTTAAGACCAGGGTCTTGCACACAGATCTTGGAACAAGTTAACTTCATCAGTTCCGGCCTGCTACGTCCCGTTCCTGTCGATGAATTAGAAGAATAGAAGCAGAGTATAAGATTGACAAGTAGGGGCTAATCCGCTGGTTGGCCAGAAAATCATTATTATGCGTGGATTTATGCGAAATTCAACTTCCAAGGCACCCTGCGGCTATCATTAGTTTCGCGGATACTTGATTGAGAAGAGCTCGGGTCATTCATACACCTCATAACAGCTCGACAGCAAACATTCCTCTTGAACGATATAAGGATGTGGCTCTGTGCCTATATCTGAAAGCAAGGTTCATAAAAATCCATAACTATACCAACCCCCTCACCCTCTAAGTTAGCTGTATCCAAATCCATCACGTGGTTTATACTACCTCCATAACAAGTTTGGAAGGTATCGTTTCCTATACCAACGGGAATCACCTTATCAGCGACGTTCGTCCTTAACGCGAAGCCAATAAAGAGCAGCATGCAGGTGGGTGCATGGCGGAATCAAGGCAGGTAGTTAGGGGGGAGAGGCTTCCTTTGATTGGAGCACTTTAACGAGCTCCCTCTCACCCTCAGAATCGAACTTTCTGCACCGCATTGGAGATCACGTGTAAACATCACGTGAATGGTGTAAGATCAGTTATCTGATTGGCTGGGAACTTAGCGTTTGCTGCGCCTCTTGTTTGCCCACACAAAACACACCTCGCCTCCTTTCCCCCCTTTCTATTCCCTTCTATTCCCTATCCCGCGTTCATTGCCTCCCCTCAACAACCACGAGTCGCAAACTCTTAATATTTCGGAGTTATGTTCGAAACGATGCGCACACACCCCCTACGAAGTTTCCGAGAGTAAAGGCTTCGCTGCATGCTCTGGACGAATTCTGACGGGGCATGGACTGGCCTCTATCCGACGGGCCGAAGTGCCTTTTGGGAGCGACTCGCTCTAGGCAGTTGGGGGAGTCTTATACCAAGCGTTCATTGAAGGAAGGCGCCGTGAAAGCTCTCTCCGAGATTGCATACCGGGGCTCCAGATGGTTGCTTGAATACACCTTCTTTTCCGACAAACCCTACATGGCGTACAAGGTGGGAGGGCAATACTTGATCTAGGTGTTTAATTCATCTATCTGGTATTGCTATGATGTGGGGGCTAGTGGAAAGCCATCTGTGCGGCTACCCAGCGGGAACATATATGTTTAGGGGCAGACTCCGAGACTGGGTTTGGCAGATGGGAGACAATGTATGAGGGCCGAGCACATGCCTTAGAGAAGTTTTGCAATTGGGGACCCCCAAATGGCTTCAATATTCCCGAGCACCTTCTTCCAATACATATTCCATTGGCATTCCCTTTTTTCCATGCTCGAGGATCTCTCTGCCAATATCATCATTTTTTGTTTACTAACAATCATCCTCTTTCCAACCAAGCTTCGCATATTCAAGCTTCCGTGTCTGCTGTGTCTGCAATTCCAGCTGCGATGGTCAGTCCAGTTCCTCAAAGGGAGTTGGAATGGAGTTCTCTCACCTCTTCAACCGTACCCTCCATGATATACCGCACCACTCTAACATCCCTCGTTTGGCCCATACGATTGACTCGCGCAATAGCTTGACTCTCAACCATTGGGTTCCACTGCGGTTCCAGGATATAAACACAATTTGCCACTGTCAAATTGAGCCTGCAGGTTGGAGTCTTATTAGCTATAGCTTGTTTCGGAATGGCATGATACTGACCCAACAGCGCCTGTCCCCGTAGTCATGAGCAAGATTTTGATTTCCGAGTCTTTCTGGAAGACCTCCAGGATCCACTTACGCTGTACGAGCGTGTGAGAGCCATCTATCCGCACAAAAGCAATGTTGCGAGATGAGAAGAAGATTCCAATGAGATCTAGTGATCGTGTCCAGCAGGAGAAGACAATACTGGTAGAATGGAGAATCAGCGGCGCTAGTTTGTATCGAGTTGAGGTGAGCTGCACTTACCTTTTGCCTTCAGCCTTGTGTTACTCGATATCTACGACTACTACAGAGATCTTAGTGGAGCAGCCGGCCTTATCGAAATACTGCCAGGCAGAGAGATTCTTGTTTCCGTATTTAGATGGTTTGGATGATGCCTCCTCGGTCACGAGGTACTCTCCAAAAATAGTCTCCGGGCATAACGAGCACTTCAGACAGCCATCCCGACCATCGATTTTCTGCAGCGCCTCCTTCATCGTTGGGATGCATTTCGAGCAAAGTAGATGTCCGCACGTGGTGAAACTACCACTACGCTGCTCTTCGATACCATGAATCCCTGTCACATGTATGCCACAAACCTCACACTTAGCCTGCTTCTGCTTCCTCAGGTGCGCTATTGCTTGTTCGGGGTCAAAGTCTTTAACCCCAAGAGATGATCTCTGAAATGTGCCGTGATTGCACAAACGCCGGAGCTGCAACTGCAGTTGGAAGACGCCAAGACAACCCTTGTTTTGCTGTTGTAACCTATTCTGGTTGATCATTTTCACTAACTTGTCTCGAGTATCAATATACTGCCTCTTCTCTCGAGGGGAAAAGTTCAGCAATCGAGATTCGGAGATGATTTGGGGCAAGTTGAGAAGCTGCTTGGTTCGACGCAGACAAACACAGTCCAAGAGTTGACGGAGGTTATCTACACCTTTCTCGGACCCCTTCATTAGTGGGGAGATGATGTGCTTCTTGAAGACGTGGAAATCATCGAGGGGCGATGATTGTATGAAGTTGACGAGAGCCGCGAGATCCTCCAAGCTATTTTGAATAGGTGTTCCTGTCAGACACCATCGAAAATTCGACCGAAGCCTTTTGATTGATTTGAAGAGTTTCGTGGTCATGCCTCGGATAATGTGTGCTATGCAGACCTCTGTTAGCGACTGGCTCGAGTGAGAGAAAACCGTCTACCTTCGTCGAGCACGATTCGAAACCAATTAATTTTGCAGAGAGGACTGGTGATATCCGTCGACTCGGCAGCAATAGTATGGTAGGTACTCAGAACGATATCAGAATCTGCAAGCACCCTTGGATTCCCCTCTCGACCATGGCTATGGTAGATGATAGGCTTCGAGAAGCCCGTGCAGTGCCTACTGCTTATTAGTTCATATATTTACATGCTGGAATTGACAATTACAGCTTGATCTCTTGCAGCCACTCGTTAAGCAATACTGCAAGAAGTTAGGTAAATGAACCAAGACTTTAGAACATCCTTACAAGGAGAAGGTACAACCACGAGGGTAGCTCTAGAAGGAATCAATGTGTTCTCCACAGTGAGAAGTGTACCGTCTAGCACGCCGCATGCGAATGATTTGGCCTCATTTGTTGTTCTGATAATAGCCGAGAGAATCGTCAAGGTTTTGCCCAACCCCATCTCATCAGCAAGAATACCACCGCCTGTCTCTTTAGGAATTTCTTTCCTCTCAAAGCCTGTGATGGAATGTATATATCTGAATTGTGTCAGTCACCATTGACAGGCGAAATGGGCCTTTCAAACACACGAATTCTGACTTTTGTGTTTCCAAAGACAATATTCTTCGGAAACAGGGCCATACTCGCGTTGACGGATGAAATCTAATGCCTCTTCTTGATACCTTGCGAAAGTAAGCCTCAACCATGATGGAATTATTGTATGACTCACGGTTTTAAATCCGTATGAACTCTATTGGTGTCCGCTGTTACTCTCTTGAGGTTTTGAGAGCGTGTCATGGTCTTGAACACAGCCACAAGCTTTTGTTTCAAAAGTGACTGAGTCAAGGCTTTTGCATTCGAAGCTTCTTGCTGCTGCAAGCCAAGTTCAGTTTGTAGCAGTGAGATTCTCAATGGATCACGGTCCATGTCCGCGACAGGGTGATTGGAGTTCAAATCCAAGAAATGTGGGTTTTTGTAACCACATAAAGTTTTTCGGTAATCTGGCTCTTGCAAATACGTCTTCCTTGCACTAAGAATATCGCCGACCTCATCACAGTGCTTCGGATGCCCATAGATAATAATATCAACAAGAATACAGGTGTCCTTGTCGATTGTGGTTGTTCCACTGGAAATTGGGGTCCAAGGGTCGATTAAACAAGACGCCTCGAAGGTGCAAAACATTGCAATCCGCGAGAGGACGGTGCTGGATTCTCGATTTATCACTGCCACGTTATTAAATAACTGTCCTTCTTCATCCATTTTTCTTGGAGGTTGCAAGAAAAATTTTTGGTTGTCTCCTTCAGAAAAAACTATGAAGATATAGACATCTTGTATCTCTAGCGTTTGCGTGACAATCTGAGTTATTCGGACGCGATTCAAGAGCCGGACCGCCTGTGGAAGCACTTTCACTCGGACTTTTTGGATCTATAGACATATTAGGATTCCCAGTTCTGGATTTTTGATACCTAGATGCAGTATAAATGTTAAAAGGTGCTTACCATGCCGTAGCAGATCTCAATTTGATCCTCAAGTTGGCTTGTGAATGTCATCCCCTCCATTTCAGCGTCCTTAAAATTCTCGGGGTTGTAGGGGTGCCAAGGCTCATCTTCGCATTCCTTCGGCCCATGCTGCTGCTCGTCCTCGAAAATTCCTTTGTAACCGTAGTGGTCCATCATCCTTGCCTTGTATTTCGGAAACTCTTCTTCCCAATTCGAAGCAGGCAACATCTCATCCTCACAAAGAAAAGATTCCCAATCAACTTCAGACGCACTATCCGCACTGCTATTTGGCAACTCAGGTCCTGGGTCATCATTAATTGCAGGGATATAAGCACCGATCTCAAGGTCCCAGTCAAGAGATAGTGATTGCGATCGGGACCTTTTCAATATTCCAGCGAATTCGTAGCTTCCACGACGCTTGAGTTTGTCTTGTTTCTGAGCAGCAGCCTCCTCAGAACGGTCGATGGTAACCCATTCCTTGCCGGAGCCTTCCTTGGCAAATATATTGTCATCTTGAAATCCACGGAGTTGCTCAGGCCTATTGATCGATTAGGAAATTCTCGCTCTTGGGTTGACGAACCTACGAAATCCCCAGTTCTATCTGACTGCTCTCGAAGGAGCTTGAAGACCTCCAACTTTTCCCGTCGTCCTCATCTCCTTCCGTCTCGTCGCTTACGAGTGACCCTATGGACGCCCCACCAAGGTCGAGAGGTTGGGACATCTTTCGAGGTCACAACTACCCATCATCATAGCGAACTGTCTCCGGACAGATGGATCGAACGTAAGGTTTCAGATCCGATAAGCTTAATTCTGCCGCGTTTTCTAGCGCTATCGCCACTTGGTGGGGGTTTGTATGGTCGTGCGATAAGCTTTGAAATTCCATCAGAAAAACTCCAAGTCGAAACTGAAGATATATATAAGAACCAAAGACAGCTTTACTAATGCGATAATTGTATATTCGACTAAAAACTACGACTCCACCTATCTCCACGTGTTGAATCGAGGAGTATGCTAGACTAATCACCCCATTTTTATATATAGGAAAGGCTAATTCGAAGGAGAGGTAAGGAGAGAGAAAATGAAGCTGTAATCTTAGTCAGTAATTTTAGTAAAGCCCGAAAACTGACGATATACTTACCCTCTATTGTGAGCTTCTAAAATTCCACCATTTGTGTGTCCACTAACTGCGTCATATCCCTCGTCTTCTTCACCTTCTTCTTTCTAGCGTCCTTCTTACGTTGTTTCTCCTCCTTTTGGCGATTCTGAGATGCTTGCTTCTTTATAGGTTTACGAATACGCTTGTGGAGTGGTTCGGTCGATGGAGGAGCAGGAGCGGGGGGGGCAGTTGACGTAGGACGAGCTAGTGCAGTCGACGCAGGAGGTATGCGCTGTGAGAGTTCTTGAATCGTAGGAAATTGGGAGGAATCGGAGAAATCGGAGGAATCGGAGGAATCGGAGGAATCGGAGGAATCGGAGGAATCGGAATCGTCGTTGGAATCGTCGTCAGATGAGGATATTTCAATTGGAACTCGAATCTGCGAAAGGGTAGGTTCGGAAGGAGAGGAAGGCGTACGTTCAAGACTCCGTAGAGCCATAGATGCCCTAAATGCCGCTAATGCCTTTAAACCTTGAGATTCAGGAAGCTTGCAATAATCGGTTTGGGTTGCAGTTGAAGTTAATGGGCCGGCAGGAGCAGGTAATGAAGGTGAAATATCGTCGATATCGGGGAAATCGTCAGGTGGGAGCGATGAGAGTGGTGAGAATGGAGAAGAATGGGTATACCGCCCAGCAAAGTAGTCCTCCGCAATATCGTCGTCATATTGAGCTTTTTCGCCTCGTAATTGCTCTTGTGCCTTTTCTTTAATATCTCTCCATCTTGCCTCCTTTTCAGCCTTTCGACGAGCCCTAGATCTGTCTACCTCCTCCCGTTTAGCTGCTTCAAGCCTAGTAAGCGTACGCTTCCGGCTCGGTATGAATTTTGGTGGTTGCCGTGGAAGCTGAGGACTAGGAAGTCGAGTAGGGAAAACACTTCGCACAGTAGCTTGATCTGTAGCTTTCGATTAAAGACATTGCGCGAGAAGCTAGACAGCTTCAGCAAATTGCGGTACGTATTCAGGCGGAAGTTGCTTGTAATATCCAGCTAGTTCTGCGGCAGTATCAAGAATAACCTACTCTCCACGATTCGCAAACTTGTTCCCAATATATCGATCCTCCCGCTCCCTTATACCTAATATATCGTAATTCGCATTATCGATTCGCATTTGCCATTTTTCGTAGAGGACAGAAGGGCCATTGATAAGCCACCGAGGATGGAAGAGAGGAAGAGGAAGTGGAAGATCATTCTAATAAAAATGAGCCATCTAATATCGATAAGGAATACCATACCGTAAAGGTATAGAACACTCTAATTAGTACCCATTTTCAGGGTCAAATTCGTAAAGACGATGCTCTTTTTCAAGGTAATCCAATATTAACTTCGCAAGGTGATATTCCTCCATAGCAAGCCCAAGACAGTAATATATAAGCCTCCGGAGACATTAACAAAAGAACGACTTATTAATTAATCGGGGATCCGTTAAACGGCTCTTATTAAGCAAATCGTCATATCTCTTGGGCAGAGTATTTAGCTCTTCAGTAATAATTTCGACAGCCTTGCTAGTGGGGATGTTTTTGCTTAGCTGGCCAGAACCAATATAGTACTGTTTCTCGTTCCTTTGAGTTAAATTAACGCCCAAATTCGGATATTTTAATGTATAGGTATGGCAGAACGAAGGCTCCTTGGGTTCGTAGTAACTAGTCAAGTAAATACGCTCTGCAGGGCGTACGTAATCGAGGAGAGCTTGTCATACTATTTCCAGAGCTTCGATATTAGGAGCTTTCACCCAGTTCCATATTAGGTTTAGCGCAGCTTTACGTAATGCTTTTGGGTAGCCTTTTCTGATTAGTCTGGCCTTAATCGCATTAACCGCATGCTTTTGATAATGCTGGAGCACCATAATATGGCCATTTGATAGTGGAATCAATTCCTCGACGTCAGTAATATAATCTGCGATGATTATTTGAGAGTCAGGCTCGTATGGTTGGAATTGAGGGCTTCCAGCGTTAACCCCGCGATCCCCACCAATCCCTCCAATACTATCAAAATCATCGCCATTAGGATCACCAAAATCGTCTGCTCTCCCTTTGCCCTTTATAGTATAATTCTCCCTAGCTTTGAGCGCTTTCTCCTTCTTTTTGGCAGCTGATCGAGCAATAGATACCACTAATCCGGCAGTAAAGTCTCTAGCTAGAACTACTGGCCCTGGATAATTATAAAAGATAAATCGTTCCCATACCTCCTCAACCTTCTCAAAAACGCAGGCTCCTTTACTAGTAGTAAATAACTGCATGGCGCAATAGCTCTTTCCGTAATTATCGATTCCCACGAGGTTATAGAGCAAAAGGCGTCGACATTCCTTATTAAAGGTGGCATTAGTTTCAAGCAGGAATCCTGAAACGAATCGACGATTAAGACGAACTTGCTCCGGGGTATACTATATAATATACTGAATAGCGCAATCTGTCTTGTTTCCAAGATTATCAAGTACGTAAACTTCGTCCACGAAGACATGGCAGCCTTGATCGTCGAGGTAAGTAATAATCATGCGAGCTTCTTCTTGATCTGAGAGCTTCATCTCGCCCTACTTACGCCACAGGTTATAGAACTCCCTATATTCGATCTCAAGCCCCATCTTTTGAAGGATATTCGACGATGCCCTAAAACCAACTACCCCCCGGTACGTTTCAGTAATACGCCTAGCTTTAAGATATCCAGGTCGACGGTAATGGTGAGGAGCTAAGGAGAAGGGGTCAATTGCACAAGGGTGATTATACTCAAGGTACAGGCCATAGCAAAAGATCTACTGATTTCCTATCCTTTTCTGTTTACTGACGTAGAAATAAACAGGACATCTAGTTCCCCGAACGAACGTGCTTATACGCTATCGAGCCCCCTCTGCGATTCGACGAGTGTTCCGAGTCTCCTTCTTATGGAATATATAATCCCATTAAACCCGATCCTTGTTCTTCGATTCAATGACGAAAGCGACGCCTTGGATAAAAGCCCAGTCCTGCAGGTATTGGAAAGCTATATCGGGATCAGATACGATAATTTGATCCCCAGGTTGCTGTCGATTCGCAGTGGGAATGGCTTCAATTGCGGCAGCAATTTGATTAGCAAGCTGGGGGTATATTGTCGTCATTTTTGGTGGTTGGAGATATGTGAAGATGGAGAACAAATTGGGGAGATTTTGGCCACTCGCAATGCAATGACAAGTGGTTTTTGGTGGTAGTTATAGTATAATCGGGTATTGACGATCATATACAGTGGCCAGCTATTCCTCTCCTCCGTCACCGGTCATACCTACCGCTTAACCTCCGAATATTGGCATACGTGGTGAGATGGATGTTACGGTTATGTATAAGTGGCCGATTTCGCACCAAAAATCAGTATATATTAAGTTACGAATACATAGCGACATCACACCGCCGAACCTCTGAATAGTGGCATATTTCCATATTTGATAACTCCTACGAATGGTGTATCGGGCCGATGCAAATTCGGCCTCGAATGCTACCAAAATTACTGCAGCTTGAGTCAAGACGTCATATGAACGATGAGAACTGCGGGGGCGCTGTCAAAGCTCCGAAACACGCTTCACCGCCTTCTTATCGATCTGAAACCTTACGTTCGATCCATCTGTCCGGAGACAGTTCGTCATCATAGAGCTTTATTATTGCGGCCTGCAGCGTATGCATACAATCTGACGGCATATATCTCGTTGCAGAGCTGGGAACAAGGCCGTTCAATTCTATGTAAAATTACTTTTCCGCGAGAGCCTTGCGTGAAGTCCAACCAGGTCTCGGCACTGCCACAGCTGCATGATTCCGCTTTGTATAAAGCCTCATGCACGCTGCGCCTCAGCCGCAAACCGAAGCGCTTTTCGCATCTTCACACGACTCTTTACCTCGTATCATACCTTGTTATCGCTGTCTAGATTGGTGTCATACGTCTGTTGCTCTCGTAACAGCCCCATTCAAAGCATGGCGACCATCGATGACGGCTTCAAACAGGTCTTGGACGATTTCAAGAAGCGGCTCAAGCCAGAAGAGAAAGCAGCGTTTGCCGGTACCACGCTTTTTGACCTGCAAAATGAGGCCAACAACCTTCAAGAAAAGCAGAGGAAAAGCAAGACGGCACAGAACCTCAGAAGGATCGACCCATTTCTTCAAGCCATGGCGCAATACACAGAAGTCATTGAAGTGTTCCTGAATACGTCCTCTATTCTGTGCTTTGTTTGGGGACCGATGAAGTTCATGCTTCTTGTAAGTTAATAGAGCATTCGCTTCCATCGTAGCGATCTCCAAGAAGGTAAAATTTCGATTGATATCTGACAGGCTTCAGACTGCAAGCAATTTAAGTAGCGCATTTGATGTTTTACTTGATGCGTATAAACAAATCGCTGAAAATTTTCCGTTGCTACTGAAGTATCGCTCCATGTTCACAGAGAATGAGCACATGAAAAAGGTTCTGGTCTGGATATATGAAGACATATTGAAATTTCATCTCCGTGCTTGGCGGGTGTTTTCGGAACCTGGTATGTTATATCTTTATAGCCGCATGATCTGGCACTAATTAGTCGCAGCATGGAAACAACTCTTCACAGCCTCATGGAAAAACTTCCAAGAAAGCTTCAAGCCAGTTCTGAATGATCTCATTCGTCATCGGGAATTGATCGAAAGTACTGCCGGCCTCGAGCAGATTCAGGAAGCCCGTGACGCACAACTCCGATCTGAAGCCGCTTTTGCCGCCTTTGAGCTGGAGCAAAACCATATGAAGCGAATTGCTGTCACCAATTGGCTTTCTGCTCCCGATGCCGATGCCGACCAAGTTGCATTCTCTGCAGCAAGACAAGATATCCCAGGCACTGGCCGATGGATCTTAGAGCAACCGGACATCAAGACCTGGTTAGACCGCAGCCAAAAGACAGTTCCAATGATCTGGTTAAACGGAAAGCCAGGAGCAGGTCAGTTTATTTGGTTTTTTTTTAAACTTTCCAACAGTCTAAAAGATATAATCGTAACCAATCTCGAGCACGCATTAAGATATCATAGGGAAAACAATTTTGGCTTCAGTGCTTATTGAAGAATGCTTGAGAATTATTCAGTCGTCGACGGACATCTCATTAGCATTCTTCTACTGCCGAGATCAAGATGGACAGAGGAACAAATTTGCCTGCGTTGCCAAGGCAATGCTAGCTCAATTGCTTTGTCAAAACCCAAGCCTCCTGCCATACCTCTATGACGAGTGTCTAAAAAGTACGAAAGTGACACTGGCGTCACCACAGGATTGTATCAAAGTGTTAGGTACTGTTCTTCAAGCAATGCCGCAGACCTTCCTCATAATCGACGGCATTGATGAATGTGAGCCGAAGGAAAGAAAGGTGATACTTAGCTTCTTTACATCAATGATCACCAGTGACGATATTCCGGAAGGAAAACTCCGTGGTTTGTTTGTCAGTCAGGAACTTGCTGATATAAAGGCTGCACTACACGTGGCAGACTCTGTTAGTTTGACGAAGAATCACGGTGAGGTTGACATCAAGAACTTCGCTGTGAAATGGGCTATGAAAATCCAACAGCGCTTCAAGTTGATGGAAGACTCCGCAAGAGAATACATTGTCAAGTTGGTCAGCGATGGCGCTGAAGGGATGTTTCTCTTTGCGAGACTCGTATTGGAAAATCTTCACGACCAAGAGAGCTTGCAAAATGTCTATAAGGAGCTGCACCCCGATACTTTCCCCAGAGGATTTGACCAAGCGTAAGTCCTTCATAGCCACGGCTGAATCTAGTTTAACACTTACAGGTATGCTCGCATAGCTGGTAGAATATTCGAAAACCCGAACCTGGCCCGACGGAGGACCGCACAGAAGCTCCTTGGCTGGATCTCTTTCAGTAAGCGGCCATTAAAGTGGCACGAAATCCAAGGAGCAACCTCTATCGATGCTCAAGATCGTATTGTCAATTTTGAAGGCCGTCAGATGCCTGATCACGTACGAGATATCTGCGGGTCACTAATAGATATCCTTCCTGGCAACCGGGTATAGCTAGTGCATAAAACTGCCAGAGAGTAAGTAAATATCATCACTTCAAATCCCTTGCACTAAAAGACTCGCAGCTACCTACTCCACGAAGACCACCTTGACAGGCAGAAAGAGGAGACCCAACTTGCTATCCTATGCATGCAATATCTGACATTTGGTTGCTTTGAGACCGATAAATCCCCAGATGACCTTGTTCAGTTCATCAAAACCGGCCACTACGCTTTCCTTGACTATGCAAGCCTGCATTGGCTACATCATTTGGAGACGGTCCTGGTGTTGCTCAAATCCGCAGATCTAGCCAGCTCAACAGACCTGGGTATGGCTATCAACGAGTTTTTCGAGATGTATGAGCCAGGCCAAATTCACGCACCTAAAATACAAAAGGAGTACCTAGAGCGAAGCTCTGGAATCCAGGATGCAGAGTGTTATGAGCCTTTGTTGCTACTAATAACACAGGCTAAAGCGAGTCGCATTGCGGAAGAGAAGCTGGAAGCACTTGGCGCTCTCGGCCAAACGCTCACCAAGGTCAGAGCCACACTCGAGGAGCTGAGCAAACCCCCAAGTCCGAATTCAGGTTCAACTGATCCCCTCGCCGAGAGTTCCGAGCAGAGTTTATCTCAATTCTATGGCGACAAATGGTTCAAATGCGCCCGGCACGCATGCTATTATTTCCATGAAGGCTTCGCCACCGAAAGAGATCTAAGACAACACACCGACCGCCACGAAAAACCCTTCTGCTGCACGGAAATGGGCTGCACACGGATGTACATCGGGTGGGCCACGGACAAGGAACTGAAGAGACACATGAGCCAGTATCATCCAGACCCAGAAGCATTCTCGTGGAAATTCCCACATGTGAAAAAACCTCCTTCTAAGTACCAGTGCAGTGTTTGTGAGAAGAGTTATAGCAGGGCGAATTCGCTGAATACGCATCAGTTGAGGGAACATGCGAAGGAGAGGCCATTTGCGTGTACAGTGTGTGGGAAGGGGTTTGTGAGAAGGTATGAGTTGGAGAGGCATGAGGGGATACATAGGAATAAGAGTGCGTCGAGCTCGCAGCGAGAGGGAGAGGCCGTATTGGGAGAAAGTGGCAAGGAGTAGTTTAGGGTCCGTGCGGCGGCCATGTTCCTCTACTGCATCAATCACCCCGAGTGTCTCCGTCTGGGTATTCTCATATCCGCTGTATTGAGATGAATTGTGTGCGGTCAGCGACAGCGAAACAACGTTGCCTATATATTCTGCGCCATTCTCAGCTGGGCGGGAAACTTCCTTAAGGCGTACGTCACTGTACTTCCCCGTCTGCATTCAGAACTTGAGAATTGATGTACTGTACCTTTCTCCACTCAGAGAGTCGCCCTGACGGCAAAGTTGCTTGGGAATGCTTGGCGAAAAATGATAAGGAATCAGCGTGGACCTAGCATAGTGGATCTGTGATGATTGTGAGGTAGAGTGAAGTGGATTTTCCTCAACTTATAATGGCCATACTACTAGTATGGCCATTATATGTTACTAGACCTGCATAATGCTCAGGGGTGAGGATAAAATGATTGGATGGAGGCTTCCGATCCGTTGATTCTACGACTGAAGTGCCAGATTCGGTTCACATAAGGTTTTCAACGGGTTCAAACTTGAACATGAGTCGCATTATCCAACCGTCGGGAACTTCGAAGTTCGAAGATGTTATTGGGCACAGGAAGTGAGGTTTCGTAAGCAGGCTCGAGGATCTGCCGGAGGTTGACTTTGTCGACTCTGGTCCCATATCAACTCAGTAATCTATATCATCGGAACGACGTTGAAGAAGAGAGCCAAAAAAAAAAAAAAAAAACGGGATGGCGAAGCAGATTGCCCACCCACTGATGAAAGCGACCTCGCAATGAAGACCATGGCTCGCTTTGGCAAAGCCTGGAAAGAAGGGCGAGCCTTCGAGATCTCAATCTTCACTTTGCCGAGGAAAAAGACAAATGCCAATCCCGGCAGCTTGCAGAGATGGAATTTGCTCTGGATAACTACTAGCAAAGCTGCGAAGTGCGAGTATCTTCAAAAAAGATGACACTTCTGAAGCCCCTCCCCCTATTTTTCCTTCCATGGAGGGGTTGTCTCGCTTATTTTTCACCGCCTCCATTTCAGGCCGAAATGCCGCCCAAACCACAGTGCTCAAAACCGTACAAAAGAGTCATCCCTCCACCAAGACACGACCGCCACCGACTTCACAACTATGGCTGCCCCTCCACCCACTGAAGAACTCCCGGTAAGGGAAGCCGAGAAGAAGAGCTCCACGGAGCAGGAGATTAATCCCTGGGACGTGCAAGCAGGGCAAGACGAGCAAGGCAACACACTACAATTCGACTACGTTGCGATTTCGCAGTAGCCTTTCCCCGTCTCTCTCCCACAATTCAATTTAATTGCTAATGCTGGATAGGAAATGGGCGACGAAACTAATTGACGAAGTACTCCTGCAGCGCTTCGAGCGTCTTACGGGCAAGAAACCGCATCGTTGGTTGCGACGCGGCTTGTTCTTCTCGCACCGGGATTTCGACAAGATTCTTGATCGGTACGAGGCGGGGGAGCCGTTCTTTCTGTATACGGGGCGGGGTCCATCAAGTGATGCGCTGCATTTGGGGCATACGATTCCGTTTACATTTACGAAGTGGTTGCAGGATGTGTTTGATGTGCCGTTGGGTATAGTCCCTAAGATGAATGGAGGAGAGAACCTAGCATTTGACTAATGATTGGGATAGTTATTATGCTTACGGATGACGAGAAGGCGCTGTTTAGAGATGGATTGACGTTCGAGGATACACATAAGTTTGGCCTGCACAACGCCAAGGATATTATCGCCTGTGGATTCGACATGAAGAAGACATTCATATTCAGCGATTTGGAATTCGTCAGCGGGCATTTCTTGTACAATGTCTGGGAGTTTTCGAAGCTTCTGCCGTTCAATCAAGTACGGGGAGCGTTTGGTTTTGACGGTAGCACGAATATTGGCCGGATTATGTTCCCTGCTGTGCAATGGTAATTCCTTCTTGGGATTTGCAGATTTTATCTGATTTCTGGATAGTGCAGCTTCATTCGCAACCTCATACCCTCAACTCTGGCCCAACTACGACCCGAAAGCAGACCGCTCGAAAGCCATTGCTAAAATACCGGTCTTGATCCCTATGGCCATTGACCAAGATCCGTATTTCCGACTCGTCCGGGATAACTCACATCGCATGCGGTTCCCGTCACCGAAACCAGCGTTGATACATTCGAAATTCCTGACTGCGCTCCAAGGAGCCGGTGGGAAAATGAGCGCCAGCGATCCTAAGTAGAATTTCCCGCCCCCTTCTCATTGAATAATGACTTACACGTTCGCCAGTTCCGCGATCTTCATGACTGACACGCCGAACCAAATCAAGGTATTTCCCCCCCTTACTCCGGTCCCATTGTACAGCACCCATTGTACAGCACACTGCTGACACAAGCTGTAGAACAAAATCAACAAACACGCCTTCAGCGGCGGCCGAGAAACACTCGAAGAGCACCAACGGCTGGGCGGAATTCCAGAAGTCGACGTCGCGTTCCAATGTTCATCTCCCACTCCTTGCCTCACCAAACCCACTAACTTATCTTCCTAGACCTCTCCTACTTCGAAGACGACGACGCCAAGCTCCTGGAAATCGAAACCTCCTACCGCAAAGGAACACTCATGACCGGCGAGCTGAAGAAAATGGCCATTGCGATGCTGCAGGAGTACGTGAAAGAGTTTCAGGAGAGGCGGAAGGGGGTTACAGATGAGGTGTTGAAGGGCTACATGACGCCTAGGGAGTTGGTTTGGAAGGGAAATCCCAATCCTGTGAAGAAGGAGAAGAAAAGCAAGGAGACAAAAGAGGTAAAGGGAGGGGAGAAAGGGGTAAAAGGGGATGCGAACCCGACCGAAGAAAAAAAGGTAGAGAGCTAGATGATGCGTAATGACTGGCTAGATAAATCGTGAATGAAAAGAAATGAATCTGGCAAGCAAGCTCTCTACCGCCGCTTAAGCTCGAACGGGCTCGAGAGCCTCACCGATGACCTTACTGCGATCAGCAGCAGATATGGCAATACTCTCTTCAACCTTGATTAAAAAAAATCGAATAAAAAAAATCGAGACTTTTCAGCCGTATTACCTAACTCTCCATCCCTATTCGAAGATGATTCCTAATACAAGGTGGATGTCTTAGCACCGCGGTCTCGATAGCAACGTAATCTAGCTTTTGATAGCGGCAGTCGATTGGGCAGTGAGTGCTGCCTACCGGCCAGTCATAATCAAGTGCAGCTTATTGTGTTTGTAGGATGGGGAAGTGGAGTGGGTTGTGACAGTGTGAGATGCTATGATAGCTACCAAAAGCAAGGCTCAAATATATTTGAAATGGGAATTATGACCAGTGGGTGGATGGCGATATAGGCCCGGGGGGGGGGGGGGGGGGGGGGGGGGGGGGGGGGGGGGGGGGGGGATGCTTGTACGGTGGAGATGTGAATAACCTTAGTGGTTCCCTTGCGAAATTAGCATGCGTGAAAGTCACCTCGCAGACTCCTCGAGAATGAAGAAGGGCGGAAGTTCAAAAAAAAGGGGGGCGGAGAGGGGGTGGGAGAAAGGTAAGGTAAGGTAAAATAGTAAGGGGATCGAATTCATTCGCTATATGTATGCACCGCCAACGCCAAGCCAACCCCTCAAAGCAAGCCTCCCCCGCCAAGCCACCGCCGTCCAAGTCCGAAAAAATCTCCAACAAGAATGCGCCCTCGCATCCCCATATCACCCTCCACCATATCCCCTCTACTCCTCACCCTTCTTCCTCCTACCCCTCCCCTTCTTCGGCTTCTTCTCATCCTCACTACTATCACTGGCAACCTTCTCTTTCCTCTTCCGCCCCTCGCCCCCCGCGCCCTCAGTCACCTCATTCACCCGCCCCACAATATCATTTAGGAAATCAAACTGATCCGGGTTGCCCTCGACCACTTGCTTCAGATGCTGCGCTGTGACCTTCTTCCCTCCTTTCTCGCGCGCCTTCTCCGCCGCCCCGCTCACTAACGCGATCATAAACAGCTCTAACGCCTTTGAGACGGCGACGGGTGTTACCTGCGCCACCTTTCCTACTTCTTCGTCCGCTTGCATGATGCGTTTTATGCGCGCTACGGGGAATTTGGTTTTTATTTCGATGTTGGTGGGGTTTGGGTTTTGATATTGTGGCGGTTGGGAGGGGGCGGAGGGGAAGGTGAGGGATGAGGAGGTGGATGACTCGCCCTTGATTCGGGGGCCGCGGGAGGACATCGTTGGTGAGTTTATTTGTTGGTCTGGAAGGGGGAGGTACTCGTCGTCGTCGGCGTCGGCGTCGAGCTCGGAGTATGAGAAAGCTTCGTTCTTCGCTTTCCTTGCGGGGCGTTGAGGAGAGAAATACGCGTTTGCGTTCGTGTTTGGGGGTTGGAGGGTGTTCTGGAAGGAATGCGAGGGTGGTAGGGCGGGGATGGGCGGCATGTAGGTGTTTGTACCGTATTCTGCGAAGTCGCTGGATGTCGGGGCTGCTCCGAATGCGGCGTTGTTGTTTGCGTTGTAAGAGTGCAGGCTGTGGTGTGCGGACGACGCGTTGGTGAAGGAGGGGATCACCGGCGAGCGCGGCGCATATGACGTTGAGGTCGGGTTGTAAGGTTGTTGTGCTTTTGGTGGAGAGGAGAGGAAGGAGGACAGGTCGGGGGATTGAGGCGCATATGTACCGTCCATGATTTTCTTCAAGGTCCGGCGCGGGCTGGCAGTGAATGGATGGAGCCTTTTTTCGAAGGCGGTGGGCGTTATGCAAGGCTAATGCAGACGTGATGAGGCCCTGCTTTAACTACACTTTAACCTGACTTTCTTGGCCTGGATTTCCGAGCACCAATACTCGATAATGGCCCGCGTCTCCGTCCCTGCCCAGATGGGAGGGTAAAGAGAGGGAATATCTCGCGGAATATCTCACAGACCCTCGAAGTCTCTTCGTCGTGCCTTATGCAAACAACCCCACTCTCAGGTGCTTCCGCCAAAAGCAGACAAGCTTCCCCGGAAGCGGTGAGGCGCTGATTGGGTCTTCGGATTAATCGTCGGGCCGGGGTGTGGTGCTGGAGGGTCGCGCTGTGAGTGGTGGGTTTCGGGCCTCTGGTGGGTTCGCTCGCTTGCAGGATTTCCAGAAAACTTTGGGCGGAGCGGCGGAGAGCAGCCCATATTTGTATTTGTTAACCCGCGCAGGGATTACGCCGCGCTAGGCTGCATGGGTCTAGCTGCATAAATCTCTTCATCCCTGGGCTGGGATGGGCGAGACGTCGTCAACAATCGAGTGAGCGCGTCGCAAGAGCTGGATGTCGTGATGAGGTTGGTGGGAGAGAATGGTAGTAGCTGGGAGAGCATTTCTGCCGTCAAGTTGATGGTTTGCAGCTCCCCGATGAGGCCCTCCCAGCTGCCGAAGATGTTAGCTTACCTGGCCACCTTTACTATGTCAGCCTCGCGCCGGCGCAAATCCTTCGATCGCAGCCTCACCACATCTTCCTATAGTATCTCTTTCAACATCTGCACCATATAGCCTCTCTCCTTTCTGGCGGTAACATTAAAGTCCCTTTCCGGAGTCCTCCTTTTCATTTATTCTCGAGTGGAGAAGCAGAGGCTTGCAGCGCGCCCTCTTCTCCCGATTGTCAGTCAGTCAAGCGTTACATGATGATAACCAAGAGCCTACCCAAAACCACCTAATGCATTATGCAACTGCTCGAGCTCGAAGCCTCCTTCGGGTGATGGTTCCTACTCGAGCAGCGTGGTCGATGAAGGAACAACTTGATCTAATCTGACAACGTCTCGATATTAGGCTTCATTTCTCGACTCTACATTGTTCCCAACTCGCTTGGCTCTTTCCTCGAGCTTTGAAAGAACCTATTATTCTGAATACGAGTTTCAAGAACACGCTGCAACTTCCGTTTTCTTCCAAGTTGTTTGGTGGAGTGACCTCACGGTCTTCTCTTTCTCTTTGGAGGGAAGGCCCACAACTAGGTACACTTCCCTGCTTACATAAACTTCCGTAACACGCCCGCAAATGGAAGTACATAAGAGTTTCAATTTATGCACATTTCATCTTCTCCACGACCACGACCTCGGCCTGACCGGCTGCCGCGCTGTACGCGATGATATTTCAATGGGCGAGCTGGTGCTGTAGAAGATCTCTGTGCAAGCCAATGCCTTGCCGAATTTGTCGTAGTCTAGCCGTGCTATTGTTCAAGGGTTTCAAGGGCCAACCTTTACCCGACTTTGCAATCGGACGAAACAGTTGACAGCAACGACGCTCCTGACAACAAATACATGGCTCTCACTGTAAGGCAACCTGAGCTAACATCTAGTGTACTTTATTAAGATTAACGACTACTGGCACTCTATCAGCCCGTCGCCAGCCTGGACTGACCAAACACATCAAGCTGGGGCTTTTTGATTCATGGTGTTAATTTTGTTAGAGAAATGCTCGTCACTTACGCATTTTTAAAGACCATCATCCCATTGCGGTTTTACACAAGGGCCCTCCAAGCCGGAGGCTCAGTGTTCCACCTCAAGCGCCACCATTATTTGAAAGGCCAAAGGCGCAATAACATTGACATGGTTTCCTTCAGTGCAATCCTCTGGGGCTCTGCTCTAGTCATGGCGTCAGACTAAAGGCGTTTCTTCCTAAGACATTGTCATCGACATTGCGTCAGATTAAAACCATACATTTAAGACTACCCTTGCCATTGCGCTAGCCTTGAATTGTATACTTTGAAGACTGCCAAATTGGCAACGTCCGTTAAATACGAGAGCAAATTATTGGCTTCTTGTATGCGCAAGACTCAAAGAAACGCAAGGCGGACTGCTTTGGATAGGTGTCTGCCCACTTTCCCTATGGATCTGTCGAGCATTGGTTCACAGTTCACAAAGCTTGTACCATGCAACAGTGCAAGTGGGCGTCCTACTTCAATGCACAAACCCGCCTTCCTTCATATCAAATGACTAGGGCGTGTTCTTGACAGCAGTGTCCTGTGGCCTAGACACCGGACGAACTTTGCACAAGTTCGGCCAGGCATAGCCTATATTCTAGGTGAACCGAGTCCAGCTTTCTGTGAGATCAGACGACCAAAGCGCGTACGTGACAATGTTCATCGGATGTGTGTGTAGACCGAAGCACTTTCTGACAAGGAGATAGTAACACTTCACAATGGTCTTTAAGCAGCTTCCAGATTCCTTTGATACATGTTCTAGGAAGCGAGAAGAGGAGAGAAGAGGTGACTGGACGAGCTATTGCTGCAAAGTAATAGGACCGAGACCTGGTTCGAGGGCCCTCGACCTATGATTGGACCACTAGCCACGGAAATTGCCCTGCCAGACTCATGCTCGAGGCTCCTTCGCACACAAATCAGCCGATTCACAGAAACTGGCCTCGACGCCTATTGTATTGCTTAATAACAGCGTGGCGTACTACAAGCTGTTGCTGGTAAGCCAGCTGTTGTACTTTGATAATTAAGTTTCGGAGCTTTTCTTCCGCCTTACATCAAACAACATTTTTCTGTCCGACCTATAAATAGGAAAGTGTAGTTTAATATTCTTTGTTAATTAAAAATAAAGAAAGTACTTTTATATAAGTTCGATTTATTACTATACAAAAGTAAACCAGTGAGCCTTTTTGTGACTAGTCTACTAGAAATAGGGCATTATAAGTCCCTGCTAGATCTAGGATTTATAATAGTCGTGCTTTTGCAATTACAGGCTTGGGATATCGGGGCTCGTCACGTGACAAATTCAAAATCCGAGGGTATTTAGTTCTTTCACTACATTGCCGCCTAGGACGTTCACATGAATGGGATTTATTCTAAAGCCGTAATGAATTCCTCCAGTAAAGACTGTTCATATCTCGAACAATCACGTTGTCCAAATTACAAGGATCTGCATCACCGATCAGATCGCGTCCCTCGACTCCATCATGCAGTGCACCTTCCTAACCTTCACCCCATCCCACCCTAGGCAAAGATACCGCCCGGTACCCCGCTCTCAGATCACCGGCATCAGGAACCGTACCTGATAACAAGGGGCAACGTTACACACGATGCGAAACATCCGGATCGCTGGCGATTCGAGCGTTAAATTACCGCCATGTTAACCTCGTCGCGTTCTCGTTTGCGATGGCAACACTTGCTGAATTTGGTCGCCATGATTTGTGTGTTTGGTTTCGCTGTGTTTATACTGAGTTATGGCTTTGGTGTCGCCTCGCCGACTGTAGGCATTGAGCATACGGAGTCGAGTGGCAGCGCGACCCGGCAACTAGATGTCCTCCAGGTTCAGGCACCAATCAGGAAGAGTTATGAAGGTACCAGCTGTCAACGGGTCATAGTTCAGCATAACTTTGCTGCGAGTTATGGTACTCCATTCGTTGGTGGGCATCTCCTATACTTCCGTCAACACAACAGACCGCTGATGAAGAGCAGGAACATACTCACCCCCAAAGAACTGTGAGTTCACCACGACTATCTTCAATCTCTCAGTCACCTCAACCGGCATCAACTATGACCGACTTGGCCTCCTATTCTTCGGTGACATCGAGATATGGCGAACCACGACGGCGATGCCAGTCAGAACCGGCATCTTCTGGAACTTTCAAAAAGACATGACTATCTGGAACACTCTTCTTCGGTCCGAGCAAAAGGTCATCATGGAACTTGATAATCTTGACGATTCCGTCTTCACGGGGGCCTACAATGTCACAATCACTGCCCTTTACTACAATGATCACGCCGCCATAACTCCAGCGGATAAGATCTACCCCATCTCATCTCAGTCCTCCAGCAAGAATCAATCCTCCGTGCTCTCACTCCCGGTTCAGGATGCAACTGCGACTTATATATTTCCTAAAAATATGGAGAGAGCTGTAGTCAGCATCCTCGCGTCTGGAAACGGTGCCGAGGAATTCTGGTACAAACACGTCCCTACGGAGTATGTCAATACGTTCAGCAATGCGATCCGTCCATACAGTTCTTTCAGAGAAGTTCAACTTCTCATCGATGGGCAACTTGCTGGTGTGAGCTGGCCATTCCCAATCATTTTCACGGGAGGCATCAGTCCAGGACTCTGGGTGCCAATTGTTGGGATCGATACTTATGATGTTCCCAGTTTTGAGATTGATGTTACTCCTTTCTTGCTACTCTTGTGTGACGGAGATCCGCATACATTTGAGCTGAAGGTTGTCGGCTACGACTCAAAGACAACATTCGGGAATGTGGCGGAGAATTGGTATGTGACAGCATCGATTTTCGTCTGGCTGGACAACAAGTCAGAGCAGACGAGGGGTTGGGTAAGTTCTGTGACTCCGTCCTAGGAACTATTAATTGACTGATTTACCCAGTTCATCGAGTCCTCCACACCCCCTCCCACCTTCCACCTGACCCCTCAGATTACCACCTCCGCTGAGACTAACACAAGCCTCTATCTGGAGCTCACCGCCTACCGCACCCTCTCCCACACCAGCACGATCAGAACTTCCTCTGGCATGCGCATGGTAACATGGGTTCAATCTCTCGCCTACACTAACACCCAAAACTACACCGGGGCCAACAACGACACCCTCTTCCAGCACACATCGGGTACCTCCACCTTCTCTCCAACCTCGCAGTTGGCCGCACCAATAACAAACACCTTCTCTTACCCAATTTCTTTCTTCATCGCGAACATGCCTGCAGTCGATCCAATCGCTACCAACTCTTCCATATACGCAGAGCTAGATCGCAGCAAAATCTCAACATCCATCCCCATCCTCCCCTACCTCACCTCCCCTTCAGTTCACCACACGTCAGCGACACTAGACACCCGGCAAAACGGCAGCTGTATATACTTCTGGAACGACACCTACTATGAATTCGCGGGCGCAATAGATCCTGCTAAAGGTTCAATCGGGGCAACGGAGCAGTGGTTTTCATTTACTGGGCCAGCGGTAGATGGAGGAACGGAAAGGTACGGAAGGCACGTGAAGGCTGTGGATGGATATGAGCCGGTTTTAGTGCTGGATGAGAGTTACCCTGACACTATCTGGGTGCCGGAGACTGAGAGAATGGGAAAGGAGGATCTTTGAAGTTTCTCGTACTCACAAGTTAAACCCAATTAAAGGAGTTTCACGAGGAGTTTGGGCCATACCAACGGCAAAGTCGCTGTCCAGATGTGACAGTAATCCCTGAAATGCTACGCAATGGTTGTTCGAAAGCTGCTCTTGTACTGTCGCCGTATATCGCGTACTGCAAAGCCTGGGCTCGATCATTAGCCTCAGAGGCCACATTCGCTCCGCAATTCAGTAGCAAATTAATGGCCTCAATGTGGCCGAACCGTGCTGTTAGATGCAACGGCGAGCACCCCGTGAAGTTGAACTCGCCCCAGAGTTCGTTGGGAAGCCATCTGTTCATTACTAGCGGTTCGTCGACGTCTTGGCCATTGTATATGAGACTAGCAATCCCAGGGAGGGAACCTCGCGCCGCGGCTCTGTGTAGCGGTGGTAACTCCTGAATATCAAGCTCGCAGCGCTCTAATATGTACTTTTGGCCCTCTACACCTGCTTCGTTACGCTGTTGAGACAGAGCAATACTCTGATCTTGGTATTTATCCTCTATACTACGCATTCGAGGAGCTGTATCATTCGCTACGCTCACGGCCTGGATGGAGCTAGAGATATGAGCAACCTCTTTCCGCAGCTCAATGACATTGGAGAGGATACCCCGAAATTGCCAGCCCGCCGTATATTGAAACAGCGCATCGGTATAGATACGCAGTGTTTTGAGATGCCTGTTTAGATCTCGCTTCAGCTTCCCCGTCTCGTCTTTCTGAAATTGCTACTTGATTTTTCTCCAGTTGCGAAGGACAAGCTTTCCGTCGCTTTTGATAAAAGCATCCGTATAGGGTTGCAAGGACTCAATGAATTCTTCGAGCAGCTTCTTGCTTTGTTGGCGAGCGAACTCCATTCCGTTGATCATTGCAAGGCTGCTCTTTCTGAATGTGGGGTCAACGATGAGAGCTTCCCATTTGGAGATGCACGATCTGGGAGTTGGTGACCGCTTCATTTAGGGCTTGCAAGGTCTGCAGGAGAGACTTGAGCTCGGAGACTGACCCGGTGGAGTCTTTTACGGCTTCGGCGAGGTCCTTGACGAGGGTGAGACAGATCACGAAGTCGTCAATAGAGAAGCCAAAGGCTGCCATCTCGTCTTAGGCTCAGAGCCTCACAGCCTCGCCTTACAAAGCTCGATATTCGTAGCAGCTTTATTATTCTCCCAATAAACGACTGGGTCGTAAGGAGTGATTGATCGAGTCGGTGAGGTACTGCAACCAATACTGAATGTAGTTGATGATCTGGGTATAAGACATGCAACATGGAATGCTGTCGACGATGTGGGAAGTTTCCGCATTGTGGCGCAATTGATCCACTAAGGGAGATTCTGACGCCACGAAAGCTCTCACGTGCTGCTGATGGCGGTATAAGTCGCTGAGGGGCTTCTAAGGTTTGATCAGGTTTCGAGTGAGCTAGTTCTTCTGTTTGAATTCCATCATATGCCACCGCTCCACATCACACCCTGAGCTCCGATAGATAAGCCGGGAATTCAACAACTCGCTCCTTTAAGCAGTTCAGTTGAGAAGTTGAACTGTTTAATCACATGATTAATTTTTCTTGAGACCGAGTCCTTATAGGCTACATCGGGAAACTGAAGCTAAGGGGTCACCGCCACTCTAAACTGGTTTAGTTCATATTGGAAGCTGCTTTGGTTTCTTTTTTTTCTTCTTAACGAACTCTTCAATTCGCAACTCGAACAAAACACCCGAAATAGCTGCAAACTCACATACCACAATTACCAAAAAGCCAAGGTGGCTCAGGCTGTTCCGCGTTTCTTGAAATTACCTCAGAAATTATAGAATATGATCTGGGAATTCTCTATTGAACCCGATGCGCTAGAACCTCGAGTTGTCGAAGCCCGCTTTGCGCAAGACAAACGTTCGAATAAACACGATTTCGTCTCTGATATTCCACCGCTCCTACATACGTGCCGCAGTGCACGAAATTTCGCCTTCAAGGTAGGTCTCCCGTCAGTACTGCGCTGCCTTTTACAACTATCTAGGTATTGTATAGTTTGGAGAGATGTCTACTAACACAATGCATCAGGTAATCAAATTACTCTTTAGCAGAAAAAACGATACACACCCCATGTACTTCCATCCCGAAATCGACAGTCTTTTCCTCCGAGAGTACACCTTTGACGTCGGCTTCCACCAATCTCTCGCATTGCTACGAGGTTCGCCAGACAAAGACCAGATCCAACGGATCATGCTCAGCCCCAATCCCCTCATAGACAAATTCCAAATCGTCGACTTTCCGAACCTCAAGAGCACCGAACCTCGGAAGTGGGATGCTATGGACTACGAACAGATAAGCAAGTTCCCATTGTACTTTCGAATCAAATGGGACGGATTCAATGCGAAGGTTGGACGGACGCATTTCCTCAGTGCGATTGAGCTTATTTGCCATGGGGCGATGTGGACTTGTAATGGGCAGAGATTTCTTGGAACTGTGTCAAGAGAGGCTGTGTTCTTGGGAATCAGCTGGAAAAGGCCGGAGGAGGGCGAGATGGCAAGAGTCTGAAGTACGATTTTAAGGGTGCTATTTATGATAGGATTTCGGAGGAAAGTATTTGGTATGGCAAAACTCACAACACGAGAAGCAGGACGGCGCAGATGGATCGAAAAGACTAGGACATCATTTGCTGAGCTGTGGTGAAAGGGTTAGATACGTGATCTACCTTTTGTGGCTTGTTTGGGAGTGGACTGGACTGGACTGGAAGGGTAACCTACGGGTTGCGGGCGCACTAAGGGAGCTCGATCCATGGCTGACTTCCTTTAATTTCAACAATTTTATTCTTCATTTCTTTTGGATCTGAGTCATCGACACAAACAGCGAGCTCCGAGCAAAAGTGATTCAGTTCCCCCGCGGTCCGCGCCAAAGTTATTCGAGATTCGCAACTCTATACACCGGACCCACATCAACCTTTCAGTTGTCCCAACAGACGTCTCATTATTTCCCTGAACTTCCACAGGAGTTTCGGGATACGATCTGGGAGTTCACCACTTCTTTGCAGCCTCGAATCGTCGAAGCCCGTTTTGAAGAAAAATGTAGGGCACGCCATTTGTCAAAACATGTTCTTGTCGCCAAGATTCCTTCCATTCTCCATGTATGCCATGACTCTCGAGCCTCTGCTTTGAAGGCATTTTACTCTATAATCCCCTTAGCACACTGCATTGCCTAATTGACAGCAGGTCTATAAGTTATCTTTCGGGACAACGAGCGAAAGCCGTCCAACTCATTTCAACCCGGAAATTGACACCATTTTCCTTCGGGAGGTCAATGTCATGATGACTGGAAACCAAGTCAGGGACTTTATTGATCAGCCGCCCAACAAGCACGAAATTCAAAGGTTGATGATAAGGAATGAAACTGCTACCTAAGCATGTTACGCCTAGCCCAGACCATGGGAACTTGTTCCTTGCATATTTCAATAGCCATATCTGAAGGTCACCTTCGTCATGAGAATTGGTTCGGATCCAGTTGGTCCTTCAAATAGGCGGCCACATGGGACTTTCCGGTGCAGTGCCACAACCTGGATATTCAGCGACTACCCCTGGATTCACGCATTTCATCGACAAGAAAGAGTTCAAAAACCTTGAAGCGGGGTAATCGATCAAGGTTTCTAGGGGACTAGGTCTCCAAGAGTAAAAGTTCACACAATTTTACGCACTTCAGAATGTCACGGATCTAAAATGCTCGGGCACAACCGAAAGGAACGAAATTGGACTTCTATAGATTATAGAACATTTACAAGTGATAGAACTTGAGTAATCAACATCTGGTGAAATATTAATTATATTGCAAGGCAGTCTAGTCTATCGAAAAAGCAAGTCTAAATCTTCTAGCACTCTTCACTGGGGTCTCTAATTTTCTCCCAACAATTCCACATTTCTCCCCTTAATTCCATTAATCTCCTCCTCCGTCAATTCGATTTCAAAGTGCTTCCTAAGAGCATTCACCCTCTCCTCCTCATTCTTGCACGTCATAACCACTCTCGTCTTCCCCCCATCATTTCTCTTCACCTCCCCATTGACAAGCATGACCTTCCCTACAATTCCTTCTTCCTTCCCATCCCCAACCCTCCCCAACAAAAATCTAACAATCAACACAGTCCTGGTCTGAAAATTCGTCTCCCCCGTACTTTGACTCGTAAAAAAGCTCATGACTTCAAAATCTGCAGGCAAAAACTCGGCTTCAGGGAATGCATAGAAGGAGTTCCACTCCTTGTCTTTCTCATTGCGGTACTGATAGATCCAGAGTTTCTGACTCTAGTCCACCTGTTGAGGGATCGCGCTATGTAAGAGACGGATTTCTTGCGTTCCTAGGTTTTGGGTTACGTGTTCGGAGATGAGGGGAAGTGGTTTTGTGGCCCCGTCGCCCCCGAAACCGACATCTAGCATCCATTTTTCGCCTGAGGGGAGGGTGACGATGTTTACTATGTGGACCCTTTATACTTCTCAACTTCTTGTTTGATTTTCATTTTTGAGAATCGGAAGAAGCGACTCACCACCCAATATAATCCCCACCCGGAACACCTCCAACTCGCGGCCTGATCCTCACACCAGCTGTATAAACCGTAAAACCCAAAGCCCGGAGCACGTGATTAAAAAAGATGCTGTTTTCCATGCAATACCCTCCTCGTCCTCGCTTATCAGTCACGATTTTCTGGAAGAGGGTTTGTGGATGTAGGGAGACGGTGTGGTGGGTTGAGTAGTGTAGGAGGAGGTTCTCGTAGGGTACGCTGCTGATTTGGTGGATGTGCAGGGCTGTGAGATAGGCAGTGCCGAGAGGGGGGTTGGATGCGTTTTTGAAGCGAAGGGGGAGAGAGACGTGCTCTTCGTACTGCTCGATTTGAGCTGGGGAGTATGCTGAGGCCATTTTAGCTCGGTGTTCCTCGTCTCGAGCTGTGAAGGTGATTGACTGAGTCACTAGAAACTTGAGGTGTTTTTTGTGAAGAAAAGCTTATGTCTTGAAGTGAGATTGATGTTGATGAAGTGAGTCACTAAGCAGATGGTTCAAATCCGGTTACACTTGCCTGTTTATATTTGGCCGACGGGTAGGTGCAAACGGGTGATTTTTAGATTCTGTGGGGATGAACAAAGTGACAGGGGCCAAAAGGCGTTCATTGCCGAGCTTACATAAAATTCAGGGGTAGCGAATGGCCCCTTATTGAATTAAGGGGTAGCGACTACGCGTCTTTGAACTGAAAGCTTGGACCCTTATGTTACCTTGTTTATTCTTGAAGAAACGTGATTTGAGGTTACGGATATAAGTATTGATAAGCTCCTGCTTTAGAAGGCTGTGATATAGCGAGTGGGCCTACTCAGCATTGCCCAAAACTGAGCTTGCTGATAAGCACCCAATGTGCAACTGGAGCTCTGGGTGTGAGAGGAGGTACAGATAAATGTGAACTATGGGAAAAAAGAATTGAAAAATTTGGGGGCCACCGAATGGATCACGTGGTATAAAGTCACAAGTCAAATTTTCACAGTACAACTTTGGGTCAACGACATGTCCGGAGGCAGAAAGTATTTACTTGCATCGTAAGATACTGTAAGACACTGATTTAGCAAGGGGAATTATCCATCTTTGTCTTACTGAAAGGAGCAGAGCTATGATCGAGAAACCCGAACGTTTGCTGCGTGAGTGAGTTGCCAAGGGATGATGTTTCGATGAAACGAGAGGTTTAGAATGATTCCAAAAATAATTTGAAGCTCTTGATAAGGCTGCGTTCTGATTCCAACGATTTTCAACAGTGACGAGGTGGCTTCGTGTGCAGTGACATCGTCGAACGTGGCGTCTTGTAGTCAGCGCCGGATACTTCGGGACGGGCTTGGTCGGAGACCTCTCGGCATTTAATACCCTAGCGTTTTCAGGGTCGCTTGGCTTCTGGAACGTGAAGAACGGCAAATCGAATGATGGAATAATCCTTCTGGAATGATTTTCATGTCTTCTTGCAGTAGTGTTGCAGATTTTGCGCAAGTTGGTCCGAAAAGAGTTTAAACATCGACCAATTGCGCAGCACAATACTTGTTTGTGAAAATTTAACGCGTGTCTCGAGCCCTTTTTCCTGACTCCATACACCAGATATGGCTAATCTTTTTGTTTGCGAAGCCCACACAGGTGAGTTATTTTCTTCGAAACGACTATGACGAATCAGAAGGGTAAATGCTTCCTTTTCGAGGGTTCATATGTATATTTCACTTCCCCTTTGCAGGGAAGCAAGCAGACAGATATAACATCCCAATCCAGCTTTCAATCGCGCCCACAGTTTGTTAATCTCTCGTTTCCTTGCAACAATGGCACAACTTCAAGCGTACTCCATCGCCGAACTCACCCGTTGCAAACTCCTCCACGAAGCCTCAGTTAAAAGCCGAGATCTTCGCAGACTCGTTGGCCACACCAACATGTACGACAGATTACTCGATGTTATGAACGCAGAAGAAATACGAGAAAGAGAAAAGCCACCGCCCAAGTCTTTCAAAACTCATCCTGATAACCGACGTGTCAAATGCTCCGAACGTCCTTCTCCGAGCCGCATAGATGATCACGAATTGGGGGCTGCAGTAAAAGAGACAGAGTCTTTCGGATATTCCGTTCATCGTGAAAGTGGTTCACTCGAGTCCCAGAATGGGTATGGTGTTGAGGTGGCAGAGGTAGAGATACTGGATGATGATGATTGAAAGCGCACGACGGCTGGACGAGCACAACATGTTATCGAATAGATATTACACGAAGTTGAGGCCATGACTGTAATCCGAACCTCATGTGCTCTACTACCAAGGAGTAGTGCTAGGGATTGGAGGCTTGTCTTGGGGCGGATGCAAAACTTTCCGTTGGTGGAGGTTACGGGAGACAACGACGCCTCCCGGCTGTAAAGTTCAGAGCTTCGGACCAAACATTCAATCTATGAAGAGGTGGAATCGAACATATGGATATAATTCTAGCTGCAGGTAGTTGACAACGTCTGACACTCGATCAATGATACCTCGAGTTCCTGCTCTCTCCTCTTCCGACTGCTTCCCAACCCCCATATTCCATCCATCTGACAGTTGTGTCTGGTACAGTTACATTATTAAACCTTAGTTTCTCCATCATATGCCCTTTACGCCACCGTACCCTTTTCATTCTCTTGATTTTCCTCATTTACCACAATCATCTCAGAAAGGTAATCCCTCCAATCGCTCTCCGCTAATATTTCAGTTCTCGCCTCTGGGTATTCGACCTTCTTCGCATAACCAAAGCCAAGAATCTCTTTGTATCTTCAAATAGGTCCAGCAAAATTACACAACACGATAAGCCCAATAGAACAGCAACTACCAAAGCACCAAATTCCAAAAATCCACTCAGAAGCAATCTGTCCGTCTTTGTCCTCCTTGCTGAGGTGCGTGAACGGGAATTGGAAGAGGAGAGCTATAGGAAGCCATGGCAAGCGCGAGAGGAGCAAAATTGTCTCAAAGGCGACAAGGACAGAGCGTTCGAAATCGAGAAAGACTCGATCCTCCTCATTTTGACTTAGGCCCTGTTTCGCACGGCCGCACGGTTTCATTTACTAGTATTCGTTTACTAGTATTTGGATATTACGAATACTAGTATTTGTATGCTAGCAACCGCTTTAATTTAAGTATTTCGCAAAATCTGAATACTCAGTAATTGTAATTACGGAGGTTACGGGGAGTCATCTCCGCTAGGCCCTTCAGCCTCGATTTTCAGCCCCTTTAATTTCACACTCCTTAGTGAGACTCTTGATCTAAAAAGCTTCTTCTTTACTAATAATAATTCGATACCGTTCTAATAATGGTAGGGATACGCAGAGGCGGCAAGCCGAAAGTACTAATTGTCAAAACACCATACTTTACTATAAGTTGGACAGATAAACTGGAGACTGCTCTTATTGATATTATACGATATTATATTAATAGAGGGAAGCTTATAGATAATGTCTTCAAAAAACAAGATTATACGGCAATTATAATAGAACTTCAGCCAATATATGTCTCCCTTGGAATCGGTCCTGCTATAAATATTATTTCCGGTATACAGATTAAAGGGTATATTAATTGGGTAAGTATACCTTTTCCAGATTCTCCTTAATATTTACTAATAATTAATAGTTCTAGTTTAAGAAGAAATACAAGCTGTGGTTTATACTTAAGTCTTTAACTGGTTTTGGATAGAAAGAAGAGATATATTTAATATGGGCCGAAGAGGAATATTGGAATGATTTTTTATAAGACCCTAAAAACAAGACCGATTATATATGGTTCAGGAATTATACTTGCTACTAGATACCTGCTATCGAAGAGCTTTTAGGCCCCCGATTAGCTACCGGTAATTATACTTATACCGCTTAATCTGCGAGAATTATAGTAGAGGAAGCCGCAAAATCGAACCCGAATAGACGACTATTTATTCCTCTTACGGATACCGAAAATATAACTATTAAAGATTTCCTTAATCAAGATAGTAATATCCAAAGGCATCTCTTTCCAAATAGTATACTCTTTCCAGGAGACGGAGATTACGACCCTGCAGATAACTCGTTTAGTAATCTTTATACTTCTTCTATATCTGCTCTAATACCAAAACCATTATTTTTATTAATACCTATATTAAATTAACTCTATTAAGCTAGTACTCTTAAGTATTCCCGCCTATAAGGACAAGAGAAGAATAAGAGAGTAAAGGTCTCTATAGATACTAGTCTTTCGGGAGCAACTATATAGATTACGGATATAATAGGAGAGATACTTACTTGGAAGAAAGAAGAATTTAATATAGAATGCCCTGAATATTAATATATAATAGATATTATCTATATGACTTATTAAGACTTGGTAAATAAACTTCTAATTAGGGTATAAATAGCTCTTCCAGGCTTTATTAAAGCAGCTATTCCTCGTATACTTGGAAGCTCTAAAACCTATTATACTATATATATCCTTAATACTTAAGCTAGTTCCGCAAGACGCTTTTTTATTAAGAAAATATTAAAGAACTACTAGAGATAGCTTATTCTAGTTAATAAAAGGGAAGATAAGAGCAGGAAGGCTTAGAAAGAAAGTAATTAATATAGAAATTATACTATACTAAAGGATCTAATAGAAGCTTTTAATACTAGGGCATATAATGGCAATAATTATAATGGTTTAGCTATAGGCAGTATCTCTAAGAATCGGGTCCTAAAGAGAATTAGGAGACTTGGTAATATTTTTTTTTTTGGTTATATCCTTTTTTATAGTCTTTATAGATAGTAATAAGAATGTTTTCCCTTAATTAGATTCTTTTAGTAATATATAGTTATATAGTAATTTAGGAGTTTAGTTAAATATTTCCTATCTTTTACCTAATATAAGCTATATAAACTATAAAAAAGTAAATATAAGAATTTCTTTAGAACTACTAATTCAAATAGCCTAATTCTTGGTATATTTAAATATATTTCATCTATTCTTTCTATTTCTATAATTATTAATAAGACTTATAATTAGTTATTAAATTAAAAATCCCAACTTAATATAGACTATTTCTAAAGCCCTGAAAATCAGAGGTTCTAGTATATAGGAGCCTAAACCGAGTTTAAATAAGGTTTGAATAATGTTCTCTAATTGGTATAGGAGCCCCTATAGGTACTATATCGCTTTCGTAAATTGATAATACTATATTAAAAGCTTAGAAAATTAGCTCGTATTATAATTTAATTTTGAGACCTCTTTTTAGAACCAGGATTTCTCAATAACTACTACTATAACTATAGCCTATATTATACCAAAAGATGCCCCCGAAGTAGAACTATAAGAATATAAAAAGAAATCTAATATGAATTTTTTTCTAGCTAAAAGTAGGTTTTTAGCTTATAAAAAATATAAGGGCTCTTAATATAATACTAAATTAAAATCTAAACTAAAGTCCTATATATTTAAGAAGTAGCCCAAATAAAAGTCCTATATAAGGACAATAATTAGCTATAATATATAAAAATCCCATATAGTAATAGTAATAAAGTTTTCAAATATTCTTCTAGATATAATAATTCTATATTACCCTATAGCTAATAGTAATATTAACTGCTTTATACTCTATAATAGGCTTGCTACTACTTAAACATTTCTTAAATAATCTAATTACAGAAAGTATCCATTCCTTAATATATAATTAGTAGTATTTCCTCCTTATTAGCCTCTTTTGGCTTATTAATCTCGTCTAGCCTATCCTCAAATATATTATCCTCTATAATACTATACTAACGAATATAATTATATAAAGTATAAATAGTAAATATAATACATATTTAGGTTAATAAATCATATTCTATATCTGTTTTTAGAAAAGGAAACCAATACTTTAGAATACCAAAAATATACTTAACCTTATTCCTTAATATCGAGTACTATATATTAAAGAGCTCTTAATATATCTCAGGAACCTCTCTAGTAATAATAACTTTATATAGATAGTATCTTATTCTTCTAAAAGGAGTTAAAATAGTTCTAGTATTAATATATCCTGTATTACTAAGATAAAATCTACTATTAGAAATACGAAAACCTCCTCTTATAATAGTATCCTGTAATATCCTCTAATTATTTGCAGAGCCCTCCTATCCAGGATATATAAAAGAGAATTACAGATCAAATATATATATAACAAGTATATTATATAAGAGATAACTATAATAATTCCTAAAAGGGGCTTATACTTCTAGCTCTAGATATATATTAATATAGGTACCATTAAAAGCACTAATATAATTATTAAAATAAGGCAAGAATCGAGGATCTTATATAATTCGAGGATATACTTCTATAGTTAGATCAGGCTATTTTACTATGTATTTAAATAGTAAATTCAGGGCTATAAATACCTTATAGAAGACTCTATTAATATTAGAAATTTAATAATAAAATAATACTATAATAATAAATACCTGGATACTATTGCCCCTGATTTTGAGAACTCCTCCTATATATTCCGGTTTAATACTGGCTGGCTAATAATATATATAAAAATATATACCTTCTCTTTAATAGAAATATACCTTAATAAGTATAATATAGTTTTCTCTTAATAGAATATAATTAATTCCCTGAAAGTTGTAATTGGCATGTATAATTACTCTTGGTATTAGTATAAGTATATATAATTAAAGAGGTTTAGCATCTTATAGTAACCTTTCTATAGAGAGGTTCTCATTAGAATCTTATTATAGTATATCGTTTTCTAGTAGTCGGCATTATTAAGTATAATTTGGATTGCAATTAGCTCGAATTCAATATTGAATTCGGCCCAGAATTAATTATTTAAGAGAATTAATGGCATAATTATTTAATTAATTATAATAGTATACTCAGGCGATCGAAAGTTAGGGTATAAATAGTAGTTAGTGGTAAATGGAGGCCTAAGGCCTAGCTTTCAAACTCAGTATCCATAGAACCACCTACTATAGGTGGTTCTATAGATACTGAGATTAGTATGGGAGCGATTACTGGTATTTGAATTCCAGCAACTATTACTGGTAAATAAAAATTACAGAAATACTTATTTTCCTAATAAACAAATACTGGTATTTGAATACTGACAAATACCAGCATTCGCGGGTTGCGAAACAGGGCCTTAATAGTACGTGAGTCGAGTATTACCAGCAGCGATGACAAAGAAAGAATGTGGAGGCAAGAGGCGATGA